TCTGATGGTCTTTCCAGTATCGTCCTCGACATACTTGTACATCCTTCACAGGTTGGACTTACTTTCAGCTCGTGCTTGTGTTGGTTGCGCTCACTTTCCCTCCTTATGTTATTTCTATAACTAGGAACCTTCCCAACGGGAAGGCCGTTGGAGTGCACAACCAAGGTGTGCTAGAGCTGATTGCCAGTTAGGTGTAGAACGTCAGTATCGTTTGTCAGTGTCGTACCATGTTAGCGCACGAGCTGATTGTACAGTAACTGGTGGTGTCAGTGGATATTATACCCAAACCTGTAGCTCGTCGGTCCTCTTGTCTTCTTAAAATATACTTTTGATGTGAATGGTTGCAGCCACATTGTAGTTCGACCTCTACACATCATAATACGTATATAATATTGCCTGAGTACGAGGTCAATATAGGAAATAAAAGCCGAGTAAAAAACTGAGGCGAATCTGAAGCCTTTTACGAAATTTTAAATTATAGTATAAAAACCTCCAGTCATTTGCTTGTTCTAAAAAGCTGTTAATATTTCTGGCAATAACTCATATAAACAACCTGGTGCTATAAAAAACCTGGTGCTGTAAAAAAACCTGTATAAAAAACCGGGTGCTATAAAAAACCACATTTTAGGAAAAATGACTGGAGTTTTTATGCTATAATAAAATTAGACTATAAGCTTCGCCCTCGTGTTTACGGAAAAATCCTCGGCAAAAAACCTCGGCTTTGCCTCGGTTTTTGCCTCGGCTTTTTATTTCCGTAAACACTCGGGACTCAGCTGGTATTCTACACTTATTTCCTATACTGACCAATACTAAGTCAATATCAGACTTATCACGACCAGCCAAAGCCTGTGCTCATTCCCTAAAAAGGCGTCAAATATAGACAGTCACTATAGCCCTAAGGAGTGAAATATGCAGGAATATTTGACTGCCATCTAGTATAAGTAAATTTAAGTCCCTTGATATGCAAAAAGTTGCAACCTCTAAGTGGGTAATAAAGCAAAGTACATACCCCAACTTAAAGTTGTGAATATGGAGATTTATCGCTCTTCCTTATCGCCATCCGCTAATGCTTGTGATCCTTGACTGGCCATGTATTACAAACTCTAAGGGGCCGGTCGCACTGAGGGAAAATTTGAAAAACACCCGATGTTACCATGGACATTTGCCGCTGTGCGGGAGATTTGAGAGATTTAATCCACTCGATGAAAATCAGCTCGAGGCCTCGCTTTTCCGCCGAAGATTATAATCACCCGCGGCTTCCACTGGATTTGTTTTAGTTTCCTTGTTTTTATTGCGTTATGAAGTGGAGCGATACTCTAGAGGCTGTGCTGATGCAGCTCTGGCCCAGGAGAGGGACTGCCAGACTGCCAGAAGCGAATAGTGACAACAAAATTGCTCGCGTGAGTGAGATTTTTCTAATTGTGCGTATGCAGTATGGCCGTGATGAAAAGCAGAAAAATTTATTCCCTGTATATTATCTGAGGATTGTTCCCTCAATGTCACCGGCCCCTTAGTGGGCAATAAAGCAAAGTAAATACCCCAACTTAAAGTGGTTAATATGTGGATTTATCTCTCTTCCATATCGCCCTGCACTAATTTTGTGATCCTTGACTGGTCATGTATTACCCATATCGCCGGTATATCGACTGCTTGAATCGACTGGTTATATCGACCATTTAGGCGTTGCAATCTTTCGACTTTGGAGGGAATTAGAAATTTTCTATCCACTTCAGAAAGAAAATTTTGAAGAAAGAAAACAAAGGAAGAGAACAAACAGGATTCGAACCCACTACAGAATGAATCTCAGGCAAACTCTTATGCCACCCAGCCACTGGTATTGTACTGCAGAAGCTAAACCCTGTTGTTCTTACAGTCTTGTACCCAAAATAGGCAGCATCCTATGTACACTATAGTACCAATTCTTTACTAAAAAGGCTAAAATAGCTGGATCAACTTCCGGGGTTATAGCAAAGGAATCGTGATAAATAGGATATTGACCTCGACTTCGGTCTATATGGGAAATATAAAAAGACGGTGGTGCGACTTTGGCGATAATTGGGAGGCGCATGTTGCTCCCTATGGGGGAGCTCGCAGTTTTCCTGCCAACTTGAATTCTCACCTGACTGAGTCACGACTGCCATCCAGAGCACACGAGAGGTCTATCGAACCGTCCACTCGGCAAACCTGCAAGAAAGCACCACTCGCTGCTCAATACACATAATAACATATTAGCTGTCTTGTCATTGAGCATTTGTGCTCGTTTGGATTAGCGAATTCAAATAAAGTATACAAACAAACAAACAAGAGCACCATTTGAAGAGTGCTCTCCAGGGACAAACATCACCAGGGATACAAACCTACGGAGACGCTCCAGCGCCGCCAACCCCCCCCCCCCTGCACATAAGATATCAGCGTGTGTCAATGTCGCTCATGGAGGTGGTGAACAAGCGCTGAGGACCGTTGGTCATTCACAACGTTGTTGCCTCCAAGAAATCTAATTCGCAAGTCCGCGCTGGGGACGACAATGTGAAGAAGAGGCTGGTGCGACTTCGGCGATGATTGGGAAGCGCGTGTTGCTCCCTACATGGGAGCTCGCAGTTTTCCTGCCGACTTGAATTCTCACTTGACTGACTCACGACTGCCATCCAGACCACACGAAAAGTCCATCGAACCGTCCATTCGGCAAACCTGCAAGAAAGCACCACTCACCACTCCCTGCTCAATACACAGTGTTTCGGGGAAGTCAACCCTCATCAGTTGACATTGCGTAGGCTGAGGAAGATTGTGGCTGAAGAGCACCACATGTATAGTGCTCTCCAAGCACAAACATCACCAGGGATACAAACTTACAGAGACGCTCCGTTTCCAGCGCGACAAACACCTCGTCAACACCAGATACCAGCGTGAGTCAGTGTCGTTGTTGAACGGTGAGAACAGACGTCGATGACCCTTTCTTACAAATCATCGCCGAAGTCGCAACCACTATTTCGTAACATTCTCGTACTAAGAATAGTACCGAATCTAACAACACCGTCCTTCTGTGCCTGCTGAACGACTGCATCCCGAGAGCTGTTGAAACATGCTGACATGATAGTAATAGTAACCATGAGAGATTTATCGTAGGTGAGCAGATTGTATTCCAAAGTATACCAAACCGGAGTGCTTCTTCCGTTGTTCATGCTTGCCAGTCCTGAAAGCCACGTTTATATTCTCAGCATGGACTGCTTGACGGTGAGATCCGTTTACACGCTCTTGATTTTTTTTTTTTTACTGAATACCACAGTACCATCAGATGCTGCACAGCGGGGGCGGTGGCATATTGGATGGAAGTGGGGGCGGGGCAAAAGTAACTCCTCCGACCAAAGGTCTCGGAATCATTGTTACTCCTGTGCGCTGATACATAGGAGAAAAGAAACATGTGCATCCAAGATGGAAGTACCGGCTTTGCAAACGATAATGGGGAGAATTTGAGATTGAGATGGGACAAAACAATAGTAAAAGCAGTGCACGGCAGGAAGATGGAGTGAACTGATAATCGGATTTTAAGGCAGAGCGAAGGGAAGGGGATCAAAGAGGGGTAGAAGGGAGCTGGAGTGCGGTCAGTATAATTAGGCTGGTGTGTTGGCAGAGATCATAGCCTGTCTGTGGCCCACTCCCACTTGCTGCGCCGCAAGTGGTCGTTGACGTTTTTCTTGAACGTGTGCATACCTCTGCGAGAAGGGGGAGACTGCAGAAGGGTAGGTGGGAGCTGATTCCACGTTGCGATGAGGGAGTGGGGAAATGAGCGGAGCGTGTTGTTTCGTGCCTGAGGAGGAAAAATTGATGCTCATGCATTGTCACCAACAGCATGTCTCACACATAACCAAGGCCAGAACGAACAACATTAATAACAATCCGAGTAGTAAGAATCTGCCCAGGCATTGGACTATGCTCACTGTCATTTTTCGCTCCTTCCGTATTAACTTAAACTGTTTTCACTGCCATTTTTGCACCCTCCATATTAGCCTGTGCTGGAAGCCATTTTTCGTTCGTATTCTTCCTTTTGAGGTTGCGCTTGTGCATATTTACCCCCTACAAAAGTCTTGGGTACGCTAAAATAAGTGGACATGCCAAACGATTATATTATCGCCTTTCGTACCGTGAAATACAGACACTATCCCCGTTTCGCGTCAAGCTAATTGTTAGCGCCTACATTGGTGTATGCTATCACCCTCATTATCTCTTACTTTGGTTTCCTATAATAGTTCAATTGTGTTGTAATGTCCTTTAGTGCAGCGTAGCTACAAAGTATCAGTGAAGATCTAGTCAGTGTGAAGTGAAACATATAAACTGTTCGCTACTCAGTCTCACTGCTGCTCATTCTATTCAGGCAGCCATGTCTGTTCGTGTGTGGAGGAACCCCTTCCGAATGTGCGTGGAAACGGAAGATCCGTGGATCATGAAGACTAGTTGCATAGTCGACTCGACGATCTACACATTGGGTGGTTGTCCTTGGATTAGTCCAGAGGGAATTCTTCAGTGCATACAATTACCATCGTTAACGCCTCGTTGTCCACATGATCCAGACCCGGAAAGTGACTTCAAATCAGTACAAATCAAATACGAGACAGCATGGTTATTAACCAATCCTAACCTGCTTCGCGCATATGGTGCTGCAGCTGCAGTCGGTTCTGATATTTTCTACTTCGGAGGATTTCAAGGACCATATGAAAACCATTCCTACCACAACACAGTCTTCCATCTGAATCCATATAAGCGGACCGTTTCTCAGGTGAACATTCGCGGCAGTTCGCCGGCACTGAAGTTTAACGTTGGTATGTGTTCCAAATGGAATGAATGCTATGTGTTTGGTGGAGTAGGGGAGCGTCCCTCGCAAACTGAGGGCGTTCAAACCCCAGCATCATACCTGGAAATAATAGGCGGCGAATATAATAAACAACGCAGTACATGTGCTGGACACAGGAGATTATGCTAGTACTGGAAGCTGTACGTGGAGAGAGATGCTGTACACTGGTGACGCACCAGACCCTAGATATGACTCTGCGTTCACCAATCGCGGCAACTTCGCATACGTCTTTGGTGGAGTTTGCAATTCGACTGAGGAATTAAAAAATGATCTTCATCGATTAAATTTAGAATCGACGGAGTGGAGTGGTGCTTTGCCAGTCACTGGAGAACTGCCGGAAGAGCGACGTTGTACTTCTTTGGCCCCGAGCTCGACGTCCTTACTGGTCCTCTGTGGTGGTTATTTTGACAATGGAACGACCCGGAGTCACCGCAATGACATTTTCATCTTTCACACTGACTTACTATGCTGGTATCGTGTGAACACGTCGCACATCCAGCCACCATTGGAGGCACGGCATTATCCCTACTCATGCCAAGATCCCATTGGTGACGTCTATATTGTAGGTGGTTACAATTCGACCAACGATAACCATCTAGCATCGACGATCGTCAGAGTGCGTACGGAACCGCTGTCCTTACAGAATCTTGCTTTGCAGGTGTATGCCGGCATAGCGACTGCAGAAGAAGTTGAAAGCTTGAGAGTCCTGGTTCGGAGCGTTTTGGGTAAGATTCGACTGCAGCCATGCAGTAGCTGCAGTCCCCCTCACGCCTGGAAGTAGACATTGTATTGAATTAAGTATACATTTTGCCTATTCCACTGCTAGGAACGCTGCTTTGAGTTCGTCGGCTTAGCTTTCTGAACATATCTTGCTTTTCTTTCACTCACTCACTCACCCACTCACTAACTCCACTCCAACGCACTTGCTAACCTAGCTCTCTATCTCTTTCCCTCCCTCTTTCTACCTTTTTAGAACCCACACACAATCTCTCTTCTCTCCCCTCCCCAGGGTGCGCGTTGGACGCCTTGGTCACGAGACTACTCGTTGAGGGAGCACACTTCGCCTCACCTGCACGGCTTTTATAGCACCTAAACGCCCTTTGCAGTCCATTATGTTCGTTGTTTTGGTTGTTTTTGTTCTCCTACGTTCCATATACATGTAGGTATGTACACTTTCACAGGAAATAACTTTGCTTTGTGTTTTGAAAACATTGAGGTTTAGAATGACCTGATTGTATATTCTCCGATGGACGTGTATGTATTACAATTTGTTAAGCGGCGCGGAGACAATAACATTAATATGGCAATAACGAGAATCAGTGAAGCGGACATTGGACGTAGTTATGTCCAAACAAAATGGATAAAAAAAGTTGCCGAACACGTTCTCGAGAGACATTCATCAGGGAAAATACGTCTCAATAATGAAATCAAACAATAAACAACGATATTATACGTGGAAGAGTACAAAAAGCAGTATGTGAAAGAAAATAGGAGAAAAGAAGGTGAAGTGCGAATGACAAGAGAAGTGTGAACTAATAACAGAGATGGGCAGGTGAGTAATGATAACAGTGTGAGACTCAGGGAGGGTGAAGTGTAATGAGTACGCGGGTGGGTGTATGTGGGTGTGTGAACGGGGTGAACATTGCTCATTCCAAGATCCCATTGGTGACGTCTATATTGTGGGAGGTCGCAATTAGGTCGACGCTAACGATCAAGCAACGACGATCGTCAGAGTGCGTACGGAACCGTGGTCCTTAAAGAATCTTGCTTTGCAGGTGATTGCAGTATGTAAAAGAAAAGAGGAGAAAAGAAGGTGAAGTGCGAAGACAAGAGAAGTGTGAACTAATAACAGAGGCGGGTAGGTGAGAAAATAATGATTGTCACCCCTTTCAGCGCCAACCATTTCTGCTGCTGTACATTTCAGCGCCCTCATGCCAGCGCCACCTTTACATTGTCGAATCTCACCTCAGCGCAATCTCACCTCAGCGCAAGGGCAAACCATCATGTCGAGGGATGGCACAATCGATTCGCGGCAGTTGTCGGCAAGGTGCATCCAAATTTGTGGCGTCTCACAGGGGCTCTGGAAAAGGAGCAGGCCACGACGCAAACGTTGCTCCAACAAATAGAAGCGGGCCAGCAAACCCATCGAGTCCTTCGCAAATATAAGGAACTGATGATGCGCCAAATTCAGCTGGTGACGTAGGCGTACGGCTAGCGGGTGGCAGCGCATTGCCGTGGCTGGCTCAATGCCGTGGCTGGCTCAACGCCCTTATCTCAGGGGATTCTCTCCCTGCATTAGCTATGCTTGTCACATGCTATGAGATTGTGTCTAATAATAATAATAATTCTACCTATCACTAGTATCAGCACCTCAGTAAGAAATTGCACTGAAACCAAATCGGGTGTTAGCACGGGGAAGGACAAGGGCAGCAGGCAGAAACTTGTCCACGAGTGGTGGCTGCAGCGTGGGGACCATTTGCTCGCAAGGTAAAGCGATCACACAAAAGTGAGCTAGCCAGTCCATTCAGCCAGTCCATTTAGGCAGTCCATTTAGGCAGTCCATTTAGGCAGTCCATTCAGCCAGTCCATTTAGGCAGTCCATTTAGGCAGTCCATTCAGCCAGTCCATTTAGGCAGTCCATTTAGGCAGTCCATTTAGGCAGTCCATTTAGGCAGTCCAGGGAGTCGTACTCAAACTAGGGAGGTGACACGGCACAGAAATCCGTGTCACAGGGGTTGACTCGCACCCGTGACCCCTCGTTGTTATTTTTGGAATAGTTCAGTCCAGTCCAGTCCGAAAGGTCATACTTGGATCGACTCGCCTTCTGTACTTCACCTCCAAGCGTGCAACGCGAGACCCGCAAAGTATGATTTTTCTGTGGGGAACGATTTTGCCATTGATCAAGTTTTTATTGGAGTGCTCAGGCATACTACGATTGCTGAGACGTCCCGAGCACGCTTGTTCAGGTTCTCTATCTTTGACGAGCCGGTCCTACAGCCCCCTACATTGTATCTAACGACGTAGGAGCTGACAATGTAAGAGAATTTCCCTGGAAATAATGATGATGGTGGTGTGACTGCTGCAGGAAAAATGCTGGCTGTTTATGACAGTATGACTAGATGTACAATGTAGCTCTCTTGTATGGTACTTAACCCCTGCTATAAATGTGTTGTTTAGGAAGACTGGTGTATGGTGCAAGTCATAAAGAAGAAATGGGGCAGATACACGACTTACAATTTTCAAAAACCAGCTTCGTGTTATGTCTAATTTGTGTCAAAATTGTAGTATTTAGACATGACAATATCATTGGCTGTACTTCTCTAATATGGTACATAACCCCTGCTATAAATGTGTTATTTAGGCAGACTGGACCATTGTGCAAGTCATAAAGAAGAAATGGGGCAGATACACGACTTACATTTTTCAAAACCTGGCTTCGTGTTATGTGTAATTTGTGTCAAAATTGTAGTATTTCAACATGACAATATCACTGGCTGTACTTCTCTTATATGGTACTTAACCCCTGCTAGAAATGTGTTGTTTAGGAAGACTGGTGTATTGTGCAAGTCATAAAGAAGAAATGGGGCAGATACACGACTTACAATTTTCAAAAACCAGCTTCGTGCTATGTGCAATTTGGGTCAATTTTTAGTATTCGGATTAACCTAGGATACGACTCTGAACAGTTCTGAACAGTTACCGTAACACTACACGCCGTCTCATAACTGCTGCTGTTGCCATCGCTGCTATCAATTAGTTCGGACATGGCAGGAGGTAAACAAATTGCTGGTAGTCTTTCAAAGAATACTGGCGAGTGATGGGCTGTAAACGAAATGTGCTGCCTCAATAATTTCAAAAACTAGACACCCATGCTGCACGCTTGGAGGTGAAGTACAGAAGGCGAGTCGATCCGAGTATGACCTTTCGGACTGGACTGGACTGAACTATTCCAAAAATAACAACGAGGGGTCACGGGTGCGAGTCAACCCCTGTGACACGAATTTCTGTGCCGTGTCACCTCCCTAGTTTGAGTACGACTCCCTGAGGCAGTCCATTCAGCCAGTCCATTCAGCCAGTCAATTTTGGCAGTCCATTTAGGCAGTCCATTCAGCCAGTCCATTTAGGCAGTCCATTTAGGCAGTCCATTTAGGCAGTTCATTCAGCCAGTCCATTTAGGCAGTCCATTTAGGCAGTCCATTTAGGCAGTCCATTTAGGCAGTCCATTTAGGCAGTCCATTCAGCCAGTCCATTTAGGCAGTCCATTTAGGCAGTCCATTTAGGCAGTTCATTCAGCCAGTCCATTTAGCCAGTCCATTTAGGCAGTCCATTTAGGCAGTCCATTTAGGCAGTCCAGTTAGGCAGTCCATTTAGGCAGTCCATTTAGGCAGCGATAAACATGTACATAACCTGTATAGTTAAAGGGGAACTGTCACCAAAAATTTCTTTATCTTATCTTGTAGTTCTTTGGCTCCTAATCATGAGGGTATTATCCGTTTTTTTCTGCGATGGCTGGAAGTTGGTGAAAACTTGAAAAGAAGGTGCCCAAAATTGTCCCGAAGTACCGAGTGACGTCACGCCGGACTTGACCTCCACGCGTACATTCGTCGTCGAAAACGAAATCCAGCCCGTGTGCTGCATGCAGGTCGATCGAGCTAGCTGGCTGTTCCAATGTACGGTGCACGTGTGCCTTTTGAACTGTTAACACAGATGGGTACTAGTAGAGGCGTACCGAAGGAGAATGCCAAAGGTACTCACTTAAAAAAAATTAAAAAATTAAAAAGAGGCGGAGACCCACGTGCAGCTACACAGCCAAATCAAAATAAAAAGCAGCTGAGCTTTCACCTTATTGACTTCTTCCGCGAGGATCTAAGTTTTATTTTGTGAGCACGGAAGTACGTCGTTGTTATGAACTTTTCGTGTGAGCTTGAGGAACATGTTAACACGATGATGAGTGCGTATACAGAAAACAGTACTCCTCCGGCGGCGATAACACCACCAACCCTAGCCCCAAAGGAACGCAATGTAGGTACGTGAAGGCGATTCATCTGGCGATGTTGCTGAAGATGCAGATGACAAACTCCGACGTCTTTCATTAATTTTCAGAGCCGGGTGGGCAACACCGCCACCTTCGGCTTCGATACAACGACATCATTTTCAAGCACGAGGTATGTGTGTCACACTAACAGCAAACAAAAATCCTTCCACTCCTTCATAGTCACAAATAAAACAAAGAGCTGGAGCTTCGTGGAAGAAGTACCAGTACACAGGCGAAGCGCCAGCACCCCAAATCAAGACTTTTTTATTTTCCGTGGCGGGAAATCGAGCTTTTCCAGGTATCTCCAGCCTGTAGAAATTCAACGCTGAGAATTTCCAACTATTGTCCGGCTTTGGTCCTCTGCCATCGACCTATCCTTTGAAGGAGAATGCTGAAACCAGTTGGTCGCTCTTCAGTAGTTCTTTCTCTATCGTACACATATTTTTGTATGTCGACACATGCTGTGTGCGACGACGTAGACACTTCTCAACACTTGAGTGACTTGAATTTGGCCATGATGACCGAATGTCATTGGACCGTGGAGTCGAGTAGAGGGCTCAGGCTCGATCGGCACAACGGGTACGTATAGCACAAGGGTAGGGCTAATGATATATCAAGTTGTTTGCTGTGCACAACCTTGGGGCGGAATTCGGCACGAAATTCTCTGCTCGCCAACTGTTGAGTATACCATGCAATACGTAGGTTTAAACTCATGTTGCAGTGCTATCACGGTTGCAACCCTCTTT